ACTGGTGAGTGGGTAGTAGCTGAGAACTGGCGACTTTGTAGTACAACCTTAGTATGCGGAGTAGGTGGGGAGCTGGAAGATGAGAACTGGCGACCTGGTAGTACAACTTTAGTACGCAGAGTAGCTGGGGACTGGGAAGATGAGAACTGGCGACTTGGTAGTACAACTTTAGTACGCAGAGCGTTGGGGAATGGGAAGAGGAGAACTGGCGAGTGGGTAGTGGCTGCGAACTGGCGACGGTGTAGTATATAACTGTAGTGCGCGGAGTAGCTGGGGAGCTGGAAGATGAGAACTGGCGACTTGGTAGTACAACTAACACGTGCCTTTGATAACAGGCAGTGGAAGCCAGCTTGCTGGCTGCCACAGCACGCTGGCTACCATCATAGTTGAAGTGGGTAAGCCAGCACGCTGGCTGCCATTGTTGAGATGGCAAAGCCAGCACGCTGGCTAGCATCATAGTTGAAGTGGGTAAGCCAGCACGCTGGCTGCCATCATAGTTGAAGTGGGTATGAGCCAGCACGCTGGCTACCATCATAGTTGAAGTGGGTAAGGCAGCACGCTGGCTGCCATTGTTGAGATGGCAAGGCCAGTACGCTGGCTACCATCATAGTTGAAGTGGGTAAGCCAGCACGCTGGCTGCCATTGTCCAGATGGCAAAGCCAGCACGCTGGCTGCCATCATAGTTGCAGTGGGTATGAGCCAGCGTGCTGGCTGCCATCGTAGTGGAGTGGGAAAGCCAGTGAGCTGGCTCCCATAATCTAGATGGCAAAGCCAGCACGCTGGCTGCCATATTATCCTTATATAGATGTATATATGTATGTATAGATAGGTGGCAAAGCCAGCATAAAGCAGATGTTTATGAAATCCTTTCGCAGGTCTTTGGTGGTGTAGATCTTAGGCACGTTTCGTTTCGTGTTCGTTGTGTCTTTTGAGGTTAGAGCATCGAGTCCCTGGCGCGATGCGCGCGGTGGCTCAAGCAGAGAGACCGCAGCAATTTCCAAGTGAGTTCGCGTAAGTCTCCACAGAGTGTAGCCGGGAACGTGCAGCAAGGCAAGAGCCGTGAAGAATATACTTGCAAGAAGTTTCGACACACCTCATAAGCTTCTCGTCGAGAGGCGCGCGGACCATGGCCACTCTGCAGGACGCAGTTCTGCGAAACGCGGAGGCAGCGGGTCAGCAGGAGCAAGAGGCACAGCGCCTGCGAGACGGACACCGGGAGGGAGGCGCGGCATGGTTGCGGACCCAAATGCTCACGACGATGAGCTGGGGTGTCACCGCTTGGCCGCCGGTGGGGGGTTTGGGAGGCCGCATCACACACAGACACCCACACACTCCCTCAACTTACACGAACACACACATACGCAGACTCATTTCCACACGGACATAGACACACGCACAGAAGCCCACACACTACCTCAACTCACTCGACTTCACACTTCTCACTGCACACTTACCGGATAACTCGCACTCTGACTTCCTGCGTGATGAAAAATGCTTTCGGGCCACTCGTCGTCTAGTTGTTTCTGGGTGATTCAACACGCGAACAACAAGAAATCAACACCAAACGGTCGTCGTTTCGCCCCAGTTTTGAGTTTGGCGGGACGATGTGGTTTTCTACGAGCCCTGTGACTTTCCACTGTAGCGTGCCCATGTGGCGTGACTTTCTGCGATTGGTGACTAAACCCCAGCGCCTGTACCTGGGGTTAATTACTGTAGACAACAGATATCTACCTAAAACCAGGTTGAGTGGGGAAGTGAGATGTGGATGGTTTCTCTGTTGATAGGTTTTCTTTGAACAGCCATGACATTCAGTGTGAGACAGGTCGAACGTCAAGTACACAGTGGTCTTCCTCTATCCTGGAGCACTTTTTTGGGTCCGATGGCGTGCAGAGACTCAATATAAGCACCTGGGATTGCAATCCGATTGTGTTGGGCAAAGAATGCTCGCGATTGTTGGGGGAAGCTGTGGCTTTGTAGTCGTCTCAAGTTTGTGAGGATATTGGATCGTGGCAATCCAATCAAGTTACAGCAAGGACACTTCGACTCGTATGAAGTTTCCAGCCTCCTTTTTCCATACATGTTGTCTATTTTGCGAGGTTTTGTTCCATATTCAACCGTTTCCAGTTGTTTGTTTGTGCGTGAGCCGGCTCGGGGTACATGAGCAGTGACAAAAACCAAAAGAATGCAGCCAGCTTCAGACGGGCGAGAAGGTACGCAATAGTTGGAACGATGCATTCAAAACACTGTCAGTGTATTGTAGAACATGTGTGGCGCTTCATTATGGATTCTAGGCATGGACATAGTTTATCAAACATGCGAGTCACAGTCATTGATGCTGTGGCTTCGCATCGTCAGAGTTCCTGCATTCGTGTTTACTTTCGTCCTTCTTTGTTGGTCTTTTCGTCCTGGAAATCATGTTTGCTTCTTGTGGTTCCGCCAGGGATAACAGACCTTGTATTGAGGCAGTTTGCTGTTGAGCTTTTCTGTCGTCCTTCAAGACAACCCACATATTTTTAATCATTTGTTATTGCAATCACTCAAAAACAATTTGCAATCACTCAAACACAATAGCCAATACATCTGTTACCTAGACTCCTTTTATCATCGATGTGTATGAGGTACAATGTCTTCATTGCTGACAAGGAGGTGCAATAGCAAGCAATGAGCAACGGGTGTTTCCACAGTTCGGTGGATGTAGACTGGGTTCAGCGTTTCACGGAACTGATTGTTTCACACAACTTGGTTCCTGGAGGTCGAGCCTGACGCAAGTCAGAGCATCTGGTCCAGCTTTGAGAAGACCAAATCCATGTGCACCTGGAAGAATGGCTCCGCCAGTCTCTCAGATCATAGAACTGTGGCTCCACAGAGAGACAGAGCCGAAACATGACACATGGATCAGAAGCAGATGCAACGAAGCCTTCTTTTGAGGCTTTGTTCAGGCAACATGCTGAACTGCTTGACTCACTTGGTTCACATTCCGAGGTTTTCTACTTCCCGGCGATGGCGACAGTGCAGGAGAACGAATTGAATTCGCCGGCATGGATAATATTGATTAATTTTGTTCAATCTTCTTCGCAGTCTCCCTGTAACAGCTGTATATATGTACAACAACCTCAAGGTTGCAAGTTCATATATATATATAATTATATACACATATATACACAGTATATAGAAACGGCTTATTTTGGTTGCTTGTATTGCCAGAGCTTACTTGTGCATTTGGCGCGATTGCCTGCATTTAGGAAGCCTTTGTGCTAGTGTAAGGATGCAGATAGAGATTGCCAGTCTCAAATAAGCACAAGGTGAATGAATGCATTGTTGCTGCAGAACAGGGGCACTGAGGTGTCTGCGAACATTGTCTAGGTGGAAGTTGCTGTTGGGTCAGCGGAAGAGTCGAGTAAGAAATGTATAGTAATTATGAATGACATATATATATACAGTATACACGCACACATATTTGTCTCAATGATTGGCAGGACTTGAAGCAAAGTGTCTATGGTGACAAGGCGCTCTTGGCGAGGTTGAGAACTTTAGTCAATATTCTGCACTTGAAGTGCAGCCTGGATTGCTGCCAGAAGAAATTGTGCCCCTCGCAATGTGCACGTAGCAATGTAGGTTCATTACACAAATGTACCTCATAGTAAATCCACACCGTATTGAAAGCCTTTAAAGCCAGCAATGCTGCTTGTTTGGACTTTAAGCATGGACATTGGTGGATACTATGAAAGAAGAGCATTCCTCTCCAAGGGCCTTGGGGGAAACATGAAGCAAACAAAAGAAATATATAGGTGTGGTGCAATAGCAGCTGACATTTGACTATTTGGTGCACAAAACGAACACATGTGAAGCACTCGGGTTGACTGTTTTTGGTCACTCCTGTCCGAGAAGGTCCCTCCTGCTGTCCGTGCCGGATGTCACGGGCGCATGATGGAGGACTTTATTGCGGCCCTTTGTGCCAAAGAACAGTCTGTCCTTCCTTCTTCATCCTTCCAAATTGTTGGTTTCACACCGGACCTTGAACACGTCTGGATCATATAGGACGCGGACAACCTTGCTTTGGCTGTGCGAACCTTCTGCAAGTGCTGCCCAAAGTGTCAGCGATCAGCCATGGACATTCCATGCACATGTCAGATTCTGACCACGCATTCCTTGGTTTTGCAAAAGGCGAGATCCTAAAATTGTCCTGTGGGAAGAGGACGCCGTCACTATGTCACTACTTGCGGTTGTTTGTGCTGCTTTATATTGCTTTAAATTCACTTCCGCTTGCCCGCAGGAAACGGAGAAAGTTGCGTAAGGCTCGCCATGTTGCACAAGTGATGCTCAGTGCATGCTGGCCACTGCCAGGACACGAGACTGAAACGCCAAGAGCCGGGCCTGGACAGCTCGTGGCACTTTGATTGAGATATTTGAACTCCACTCACCTGCGCCAAGTCAACTAAAAGTACATGTGAGTCGAAAATCAAATCCATTCAGATTCAAGTTCAATGCAGACATGGTAATGACGTACGCGACACTGGCATTTTTTATCCTCATGACAAGTTTTGCGCGGCGAAGCATAAAAAGCAACCCGCACATTTTGCTGGACCTGTAGAGCTTGGAACGATGAGGTGAATGTTATGCCGATTATTTGCAAGTGGCTGCATGCTTGCCGCACCCCTTTTGCATTTTGCTCAAAAAATGAGAACTGGTGTGACCTACGTCACGTCTTTCAAGTTGCTGTGAAGAAGTTCATTGGTGAACGGCTGACAACATGTCTGCGCTGTGCTTAGTATCCCACTTGTGCAGCAGACTCTTTAGCGATTTTCTGTCGTTTGACTTTGTCCTTCAGCTACTTTGAAATTGCCGATTGCACATTGTCCATTCAGCTTGATGGGAGACTGGGACCCAGTGGGTGCAAGGCCGGCTGTCGTTTGGGTCAACTATTTCACCAGTATGTGCAGCAGACTCGGGTACAGCGCCTCAGATCCCACACATCAACAGTTAAATTCTCAGTTAGACAAACAATGAAAACAACTGAGAGGCCTTAGAACGCTCGTTGTTTAAAGACGTGTTCTTGCAGAAAGAGTCCAAAGTCCCAAGGAGAGTGACTTGATCGAATTGAGGCACAGAACAGTTTTTCATCAATCATCAGCAAAAGCCTGGATCTTATATAGTTGAAACAATGTTGGAAAGAGCTCTTGTTGGATCATTGGACATGGCCCCTTCAAGCTAAGGACTGCAGTTCCTGAGCTCTGCTGAAAACCTGAAGCGAGGATGCTTTCAAGCAGCGGCCACAAGAACTACAGTCCAGCAAAGCTGTTCCCACTAAGGTAAACGTTCATGAAAACGACTCAAACCATCTGTAAGACTTCGGTTGTATTGCTTTTCTTGGCACCAGATGAATTTGCCAAACTGAGTTTCCTTTGCATCAAAGCGATTGCCATGCCTTCGCAGTGGCACAGGCCAGCATGCATGCCATGCCTTCTTAGTTCTAAGCTGATGTTCTTCAAACTCTGACTCTAATGGAATCAAGCAATTTCCCCAGCAGCAGCTTTTCTCAGGAAGGCCAGACGGTACATGGAGGTTGGCCCGTTTCGTTTGTGGGAACTGGGTGGCTCGACCTTTTGCCTACAACATGACATACCAATTTGATGCGTCCTTTTTTGATCTACATGTGTTTCCATTCTTTTTCTGCTTGTGCCAGAAAGGCTTGAGAGTGCTTAAAGCTGCTTCAAGTCCTGAGTCGCCATTGCAATCTCATGAAATCTCAATCCTTATTGACACGCCCTGTACTTTTGTCTCCTGCCCCCAATACGTGTTGTATCGAGCCATTGCAGCAATGCTGTTCCGCGTTGTTCTACAATTCCACAACTCCACATTACCAGGTAGTTGTCCTCCCTTGTATGATGACAGTGATCATGTCATCTCGGTAGGTGTCATTGCGACCGTCGTTGAAGATGCTGTGGGCTCAGATTATGAAGCTCTGCGGATTACAATTACAATCCTTGTGGTTTCTACTTTCAATTGCAAACCCATTTACAAGCCTGGTTGCCAGCCAGAGTCATTCTTTTCTGGTCTTACTGCCTCGTGTAAGGCTACCACTATGCACATTTGCGCAAATGATACTCGAAGTCGGAAGGCTGCCGCGATGTTTCCCAACATGACAAGCCTCTCACAGATCCACCGATACAGCAGATTGTAGAATTGTGTGGAATGTGGAAAATATTGATCTCTCATTTGTTCTTAGATTGAGCATTTGCTGCTCTTCGAGGCAGTGACAACAGACATGAACCTGACATATGCCATGGCCTCGATGTGTTACAATGAATCGAACACAGGATGCATTGTTGAACGAGGTTGGCGTTGGGAAGGTCGGCCGCACCCTGCAGATTGATACACGAATCCTGAAGGCCTTGTGTCAACACATGGATCATACGTCAGCAGGCCTTGCCAGGCTTTGCATAGTCTTGCGGGCTTTGAAGGCCATTGAATCTTGTTGCTACGCTTCAATTGCAGATTGGTGGCGTGATGGGCGTTGCGGAAGCAGAGGTAACAGACATTACATCTGGAAAGGCCTTGTGACCGAATCCATTGATTGCAATTTTGCATGCAAACTTACTCTGTGGAGAGTGAATAGGGCATCGTGTGCAAACTTCAAGTTTCCTTACACTTCCATTGCCTGACCCAGCTCATTGCTGTCGGACGCCACAGCATGATGTTCGTGGGGGAGGTGGGGTGCTGATTCAAGTTGTGTCCTAGTATGGCTGAGTAGGAACACGTGCACTATACGATCTGCCCTTCAGAAAATGCTGCAGGATGGCTCTGCATTGAAATTCGCCCAATCTTTGAACTCGGTGTTCGACGTGTAGGCGGCAGAGTGTGACAGCAGATCACATTTTCCTTATTCTTGTATAAGGGCTTCAATCTTCTACTTGTTGATAGTTTATGCCTTATGCTTGATTGATCCAGCTCTCTGCATAATGAACAAGTTCAATGCCTGGAACACCTGACACATGTCTGCCAATTCAGTCTGTGTTGGGGTGATCCCTCAACATCCTCAACGATGTTGGTCACAGCCTCCAAGCACTGATTTAATGTGTGCCAGAGCCGCGAGACGTATGGACTTTTTTGAAGTAGGATGCCATGGATGGTTTCTTTTGTCAAGTGGGGTGATTTTGAACTGTCCCGACGGAGCTCACATGAGCTCATACCGCGGCTCCTCAACAGCTGGCTGACAACAACGGCCGTTGAATGTTAGGAGCGATGTGATAGTTTCAATAGTGATTCGTGCATTATCTATGTGACAGACAGAGATAAGAAATTGGAAGCGCTGGAATGCCATCAGGATAAACTCCAGCAGGATAAACTCACAGACTCACATGTGTAGCTCGGAGGTTGGGCACGGATTAGTGGGTTGACATCGCTGGCCTTGCTGTAGGTAGCCTGTAGCCCGGGCAGGATTGCATGCTGGTCAAGCGTCAAGTTCTTGCCGCACCACAAGCTCGCACGTGTTTGACTAGCGGCCAAAACTGATGTTGAATTGAGTGCTTCCAAAGCATGGCAGGAATCCCGCTGTATAGCTTTACTAGCCACATGCTTTGGACTTACTTCAATTTGGGATACCTTTCTTTCCCTCGCTTGTTTACAGCCACACAAACAGCAAATGTGAAGATAATATTAGATAACATTATTTCGCTTCCATGGCTCCTCATGGCGTTTGCTGCAGCTTTCTCTCCAGCAAAGGGCCAAGGAAGCACTCGCAAAATACCGTTTGCAACAATCAGTGGCCGAGGTTTGCTGCCAACCACCTGTGCAAACGCCCCAGCAGCTACTGGCAAACTTGTAGCTCCTGTTTCCAGATTCGAGCATTTCACGGCCAGAACTCACCTGCTGGACACCTCGACTGAGGCAGCCAAAGCTGGTGTTGCCGTCACTCATTTCTTACCAGAGTCAGGCAACATTCACATTGGGTGTGCATCTGTAGTTCGCGTCGAAGTGGCAGCACAGCCCTGTCCAGGGAATCGAGGCCCATTGTACAGAGCCATGCTCTCAGCAGCTCTTGAGAGCAGTATTGAAGGATCTCTCAAACCTTTTTGTTTGCATAGATTTCGGCCATTCCTCTTTGTCAACCTTTGGTAGCAAGCTCCGACCATCAACAAGGATGCATCCAGATGAAGCAAGAAAGCAAAGCAGACCAATTACACCTTACGTATCCTTACACGTACATATTGACGAGCATTTCGTTGATATTGCTCCAAGTTTCATTGCTGGCCAGTCATTGCTGGCCAGTCATTTTTAGCACTCAGGATACTCGACGAGTGCCAGAGTCCCGCTTGGCGCACAATGTGCATAAAAGAATCTAGGACAGTTTGGAGGCCGAATGGACCAGGCTCAGACCAGGTCTGTCCTGGTAGCTTCTTTTTGAACTCAAGAGATCCCATTATATACTACATGTCACTTTACCAAGGACCGGGTACATAGCCTCACGAATGGCAAGGAGAGCCTGCTTGACAGTTTTGCGCTGGGATCCGTAACCTGCAACTTCACTTCTCAGCTTCCATTGACTGCAAACCAAAGCAAGATATCTAATAAAGTGGCCTTCTTACGAGTTCCCTTGACTTCAAAAGGGAATGAGGCGGAGAGGATAATGCACATGCATGCACATGCTACGATGCTTGAACATGAGGCTGGCGGAAGCCACACTACTGAGGGGGTTGCTGGGAAGTGCTGATTAGAGAACTGAGCAACATTTAATTGGGTCATGCCCTCTTTGAGCCCAATGCTTAAGCTCGTTTATCCCAAGTATCGGAGTGATAGACAACCTCTAGCTTTCAACAAGGAAGAACTTGGATCAAGAAGCTACTACTGTAGTAACAAGGGCATCGCTACTAGGAGCAAAGGGCAACGCTACTAGGAGCAAGGACGCTACTAGGAGCAAGGACGCTACTGGGGGCTCCTGGCCTTACTACTAGGAGCAAGGACGCTACTAGGATCAATCGCTTTTCGTCCTACCGACCCCACAGCTTTTGTCCCTTAAGATGCATGGCCCATGGCTCCGATGGCAATGCAGCAAGGACGCTTCGCCAGGGTCTGCTTGGGCCAGGCCGCCGTCCGTTCCGGCGACTCTCTATGGAACAGACGGCTGGACTTGCTGCATTTTTGACATACAATTTGTGGATCACCATGGGTAGCTGAACAAAGGCTTCAAGAACAGACCATGAAGGAGCTCGATGCCTGGAAACAGTCGTCAGAGGACGGAATTGGACTGAGCCGCGGGATGCAAAAGCTTCGGATGTCACAAAGTATGTTCGTATTAGGATGTATAATGTATGTGATAGAATTCCACAGAACCCAAATGAACATATATAATATATATATATATACTCTACTCCAGAAATAGTGTGATGTACCACTGCATTTGGTATCCAGAAAAGACTATAAAAAAGACACTCTTTTCGTTTGATGGCTTATTTGGAACACATTTGTTGGGTGACCCCCTACTCAATCGATGCTGCAAAATCTGCAACATAATTGATCTTCAATCTTCACTATACACCGGGGATATGATGGAATATGACTTCACAACGGTGGATGTTCCTGCACCGTAGTGAAGCTGCACATCACGCCGAAGTACGACTGGAGGAGAATCGGCTGAAGGATGCCCTGGAGGCTCTGGACGCTGCGTTCGAAGCTTTGCGGTGGGAGGCATAGCAGCATACTTGAAACATATTGAAGCACCGTGAATCCATTTGCAGTCTTTTGTTTGACGACTTTGATTCTAAACACGTAAAATGCTTCAATGATTGACCACGTATATTGACAAGCCCTTGGGGCAGTCAGCTTCAGGTTGGCTGATGAGATTTGCAATCGAATATCGACGGATGCGCTCAACTGAGATTGATTGACCGTTGAGAGCGCTGAAAAGGACTCCTTTTTTAAGGGGGGTAGGCAGCTAGTAGCTACAAGAATGCTAATATGGACGCAGGATACCTCGCACTAATGGTTTGGTTCCAAGATTTTTAGGGAAACTTAAGGCACTTGGAAATGCTGAGCAGCTGTGGCGAAAGAAGGAGCCTGAAAGCCGCTTCAACTACGTCACCAAGCCAGGCCGTCGTGGGAACACTGAGCTTGTGGCACTTGCGTTTGAGCATAAAGTAGCTAAGGTATGGCTAAAGAAGCTACGGTAGCTTGCACAATGTTGTTTTTGATCTTCGACAGAACCAAGAAAACAGGATCACCTTTCATGCAACTTGTATAAGCGAGACGAAACATATTCATTACCCATGTAAATAAGATGCGCTTCAAGCCATTATGTCCCGGAGTCACAAACAGTTGCAGATCAAGAAGGTGTCCTGATCACATCAAATACCCAACGTCACTCTATGAGCAGAATCAGCCGCTCCATCTTGTTGAGAAGCTGCAGCTTGGGGTTCTGAATTTGTACCCAAGGAACGTAGTGTTCGAGTTTGGTGAGAAGTTGCCACAGAGCTCAGAGCAGGTAGTGGAAAAACACATTCGATAATTTCTGCGTATTTGTGTGCTCTTCTGACGTGTGCCAGCAGAAGCGAGCCTTGCACGACATGCATGGCACTGTAGCATACCGCATACCTTCTTATTGCAGAGGATTGCGACGGAAACAATTCTCACACCAACGTGTGCAAATCCAATCATGAATTGAAGCTGAAAACTCATCAAACACACTTTTGAGGTGAGTATTTGCAAGTTTTCTTTGTGTGATTATTTTTTTTGTGATTCACGAATCGATGGAGGGTCTTCAATACGCAAGCGGACATGTTGTGTTTTCAGAGTCCCTTGGGGTATATAAATGCGTGCAACCTGCGTTTTTAAAAACCGATTTGGTTCCCCTCCCACCTTTTGTAGACATCGTATGACATGTTTTTTCAATATTGTGAGCCTGGATTTCGATGGATCTTGTGGGCACCAAATGGAATGGCCAAGCCGTGGCGGCAAGCTTTGACAGGGATTGATCCATTGGTTTTAAATTACACTCTCAAAGTTTGCTCGATTTGCTTGGTCGAGCTCTGACGGGCATTTCAAATTCTTCCAGGCCAACATCACAGCTCTGAGTCCAGGCTGGGTGACACGGGCTCTCCGGTCTTGCGGCCACAGGTTGGTAGCCCTGACCGATGAATCTCAGGGCAGGTCATGCCACTGACGCAGAACTCATTACGCCCCAGATGATCGTAAGTGACAGCTCTGCAAATGTGCTGGAGTGCGAATGTGACAGCTCTCAAGCAGAAACACTCCGAAGAAGTCATGAATTGACCGTCCTTGCATGTACAGTTTTAACCGCCAATAATGGAACTACTAAAGGTTAAACCCTTAGCAGGGGATCTAGGGACAGGCAAGCCACAAGGTTGGTTTCCCTGAGCATTTTTGGGAGTCGTTTCGATCATGGAACTTGAGGCCTTGCGCTTGCTTGCATGTAACAGCTTTCTTTTGACTCCTTACATGACTACTAGACTCTAGACTAGCTTCCGGCCTATCCCCAAAAAGAACCGAGAAAAGACAAAATACTCCAACGATGAATTAAGATGAAGATATCGAACATTAGGACGATGTCACTTAAGTTGGTTCCTCCACAGAGAATAAATGACATCAAGACAGCAGAATCAACTTCCCTTATCAACACATCAGCAATTTTGCACTGACACCATTTTAAGTTTTCCTCCTGCTCAATGTGAGAAGTAGAGTGGCTGGCTGGCCCAAAACCGACCATAAATAGCGAAAAAGAGGTTGTGTACATTTGCATACTACCTGTTGCATATTGCGTCTTGGCCAACCTTTCTCTGATGGAGACATATGCTGCGATGTAGTCTTGATGATTTTTGATGAATGAGAGGATACT